CAAAAACTTCATATATCTCTATTATTAGTCAAATATGAACTGAGATGCCAACCAGGTCATGGCAGTAGGTACTGCAAATCTTACTTCTTCTGAGCATGCTGTAGATCAGAGAGCACTTATAAATGATCCACTGCACCAGGCTATGGCAAGCAGTCAGTAGCAGGTTCCCAAAACTATTCTTCTATTGAGAAAGTTTTATATGAAAGACCGGACTATAAATCATGTAACTGCCCCCATGACGTTGTCCAAAAAGCTTGTAAAATGGAGTAATAAAACTAAAAACAACTAAAGAATGGTGAGACTGTAGGTCTGTCAGCTGAGTAGCAGTCAGCTATACTCAGCTACCAGCCTGAGTACTTCCACCTACAGAAAGCAGGTTTCATGCAGTCTTTTTGGGTTTTTTTTCCCTGTGAAAGAAAGGAACTTGAGTTACATCATTCAGGGCAGTCTCAGGGTATGTGTTGTCTTAGAAAGTGGCTTTGTTTACCAGCAAGTGCAAAGTAAACTCTGAAGAACTGCTGGAATTGCACTTAATGTGGAATTATAGCACTGAAGTAGTTAAGATGTTCTGCATTTTCTATGCATTTGTACCTTTATATGTCATTAAAGTATAATTAATTCCTTTTCTAAATCCAAACTGAAACACAGCATTACTGTTTTGCATCTATACCTTGGCTATTCTTATCTGAATAATTAAAAAGACATGTTTATGAAACCCAAGCTGCCTCGAGAGATCATTAATATTACAACAAAACCAATCCTGGCAGCAGTCAGGGATTGTTTTAGAAGGATCCTGGAAGCCTGCTGGTGATGAAAAACCTTTTTTTCACCCTCTCATAAACTCAAACCTCACCGCAAAACCCATTAAATGATGTCATCTGCAGTGAAGGGCTCAGTAAGTCTGGGCTACTTCAAAGAGAAAGCAAGCACTTCCACACCACCGGATGATGACCCCAGCAGCACTCAAAGTGAGAGCCCAGCCTGAGCTGGGGACAGCCAGTCCCTGAGCAAGGGCACAGCAAGGTGCTTTTGCTTCAGGCAGAACAACCTGTAAAACCAACCCACACTGATTCATGGAGCTGTTCAAAGCTCCATGCTGCCCAACCCTTGAGCACTTGGAAAAGAGAGAGGCAACAAGTAGGACCCACGGACGACCCCAGTGGGGGAAGTAAGTGAAAAATGGGTGGTCCTATTTCTTAAAGCCCCAGGGGGGATCTGGGGAATGAAACTTTGCTGTTCAAACCCAGCTGGCAGCAGTACATGTAAGTAAAACCTGTGGTAAGCATGAGCTCAGAGCATGAGTTCTGATTTTTAAGAAGCTGACTTAGTTCTGAGCTAAACCACAGATGGGACAGCTTGTGCACTGGCACTCCACAGTCTCATCACAACCACTGAGTTCAGACTGTGGTTTCCACCCGATGCCACCTTCGTGGGCAGCCTGCCATGGTAACCTAAGGCTTTTTTAAAGATGTACAACAACTCAAGGACATTACAGGAAAAAAAAAAAAGGTAATGAAGATCAAGAGTCTTTATGCCAATGTAGAGAATCTAGTAACATTCTAAGTGTTTTCCTGCTCCCAAATCAAATTGCAGGCTTCAGAAGAAAAATCTGGCTTGCTATATAACAAGCTCAGATTTACGTTAACTAGAAAAATTGACTTATTTTATTCTGTTACTCATTCTTCCTTTAGGCAGCTGCACTAGAACACTTTACAGGGAGAAGTGTATTTTAATGTATTAGGTATTTTGCTCTGTGTGATGTATCTGAGGGATAACTGTACTCGGTGTGTGTTTGCAGCCAGACAGACTCTGAGTGCATCCCTCTTAGCTCCCATTTTCCCTACTCAAAAAAGTGAACAGTGGTAATTAAGCTTACATGCTAGATTAGCTGGATTTCCACCCTCCAAAAGCGAGACAGCGAGGCAGCTGCCAGTGCAGTGGGCATCACTTGTGAGCTTCTTTGAGGCAAATTTGAGAAAACCAGACCATATCTCAGGAACCACCCAGACTGTGGCACCTACAGTGCACAGGAGCAGAAAAACAATACTCGGGTTTGTGGGTATTGCTACCAGCTAATTATCCTCTCTAATATGAGTAATTTGCAACTGGCAACAGTGCCTGAAGGAATGGACATGGCATTCTTCCACAGCCAGGGAAAAGGCAGGCTAAGAACATACTTTTTGCTGTTTTGCCTGCCAATAAGCTTGACTACCAGACTGCCAGGCCAAATGGATTCAATATCTGCTGGCAGAAATCGTTGAAACCTGAAGGAAGAAAGGCTGGCAGAGCACCACTAGTGAGACAACCAAGTCTGGGAAAGGTATGAGGGTACTTGTGTTCTACCCAAGCTCTTTATTTGCTGTTAAACTCTGGCAAACAAGATGTGACACTGGGACCTGCACCTTTTAAATGGCCAGGTCTGGTCAGCACCATGCAGGTCATAATCAACCTCTAAAAATCCTGTTTGTGAGCAGGACAGCCAGGCTGCTGGGGTTTCCATGCAGGTCTGTATCTGACATACCATGAGGCACATGTGCTCTGCTGCTGAGGCTTCCACACTGTTCTAGGAGGCATCATTGTGCTCTGGACCCTTACAGCTTCCAGGCAACACTGCAGCCAAAAGGGGATGAACACAGCATAAATCCTTCTCCAAAAGAAGGGTAGTAGTGCCCTTACTGAGAAAGTGCTAAACACCTGACTGAAATTCTGCCCTAAGAATCCTGGGCCAACTAGGCATAAGCTGGACTACCAAAACACAGCATCGATCTTCAGAGCATAAACTGTAGTAATGCATCCAGGTTTGCATGACTTTTCTGGGTCTGCACCAGGATCTTCCCTCTCTACTGTCCCCCACAGGTCTCATTTGTCTGGTCATTGATAAAAACACAGATTTTAGGATAACTCATTTGCCTCTGAAAGTCAAGCAGTGGCAGCAGCTGGGATGTGGATGCCCAGGACCTCTCCCTGCCCTCACAGAAACTTATATCCCAGCTGTAACTGGATCCCTCTTATCAGTAACACAGCAAGCAATTCTCATGCAGGAACAAAAGCTGAGACCAGCTACCAGGCTGTGATAGTCCAGATTTATTAGGCTGTCTGCCACTTGAAACAAATCTTTGGTCTGAGATTTGCAGGTGCTGTAGCAAAGAAAAAGCACTTTTCTTCTTTGTCTCTTCATTGACCTGTCGTAAGAATTTAACAAAGCCGTACGCTGCAAATGATCAGATGCGGCATGAAAAGGCTGCTGCTCTCACTTCCCACTCTCGTTTCATTACCTGTGCATCACCTGTCATGTGGGATGGCTCAAAAGCTGTGCAGAAGCTGCTCATCTGGCACCTTGCTAAGGATGAGTGCAAAGATGTGCAACACATTTTGGAGGGCACAACCTGTATGTGGAATGAGATTTACTGGGACCTCTCTGATCCCATTGACTCCTGAGAGTGGAGTATCAGCACAGTATTGAACACGTACTTGCACAGCACCCTGTGGCTACTGAATATGTGTAAGCAACAAGCTCAAAGTGAGGAGCAAAACAAAATGCTGCAAGGAGTTACTGCAGGAAAGTTGCAGAGCACAGCAGCCTTTCCTGGTGAGTGCAGGCAGCAGGCAGAGACAGTTCATAGAATCACAGAATCATAGACTGTCCTGAGATAGAAAGGACCACAAGGGTCACAGAAGAACAGCTCCTTGCTGAAGTTGTCCTGAGGACAACTTCAAGAATCACGCTTGAGAACTTCTTGGACTCTGCTAGGCTTGGTGCTGTGACCACTTCCCTGGGGAGCCTATTCCAGCATCCAAACACCCTCTGGGTGAAGAACATCCATCCTAAACCTCTCCTGAGAACTTCAAGTTGCTCTCATTGACATTGCACAGAAAAATTAAACACACAACTGGCCACTGCTGGCACTAGGAGAAGTCACTACATGGATCTGAACTTCATGAGCTTGCTCAGGGACCTCCTCTTCCTCATTCGCCTCCTTCATCCCATGTTGGAAAGGCTGGATACCCAGCATTTCCCACAGTCCCACCTGTCCATTATCCTGACATAAAGCATCTACAAAGTCCTGGTCACAGACTTTGTCCATCCCTCCTGGACACTGAAAGTTGGCCCATTTGTGTTGAGGATAAGCTAATTTCTCTTGCCCGATGGCATAATAAAATATCCAAAATTTTGGAACAGCTATGTGCACATCACAGCATTTGATAAAGGGCTATTTAGGCAGTGGTACTACCTAAAAAACAAAGGGTGCTGTTTTGGGTTTGGTGTGATATACAGAGCTGAGGATATTTGGCAGTGAGCAGGTGAAGAGCTGCTCATGCCATCACAGGATACCCAAAGATCCTACTACAGCAGGGAGGCTGGAGGACAGAAAATGCTGGGACCCTCAGTGCCAGTAAAATCTCATGACATTGTGAGACAAGGGATTTGCTTTGAAGCCATTTTGCTTGCCTTTCTGTTTTTCTGAGGTGACTGAGCTTTTCCTCAGTCACCTCACCGAGCACCAGAGTAATAAGAAAAGAATCGCAACGGTGTTTGCGGACACAGTGTGCCGATGCTCAGCTGCGGCCAGGCACCCGGGGCGGATGCGTGGCGGTGGGGAGGTGGAGTGGCTTTTTTTGTCCCAAATACCGGGTGAATGCGAGGCTTCTGTTCCTCCAGGAGCAGCGCGGCGATGCTCGGACCGCGGGCATTCTAACGGGGCAGGCTCACACGCAACCCCCCGAGCGTGGAACCAAGGCTGCCCGCCCTCAATTCCCAACAGCGGCTGGCGGGCCCGGGGGACTCCGCAAGGGCAGGGCAGGACACACCCGGCGCGGTCCCACCCATGCCCTCCTCCTCCTGCCCATCCCCTCCCTTCCAGCCCGGTGGCGCAGCCGCGCAGCGCCGGCCGCGGGAGCCGCCGGAGCCGCCCAGCGCGGCGCGGCCCTTCCCCGCCGCGGGGCCGGGCTGGGCCCGGCGGCACCGGGCAGGGCAGGGGCTCCGCGGCGGGGGATGCGGGTGCCGGGCGCAGGATGCTGTGGGGGGTGGGCCTGGCGGCGCCGCGCTCCTGCGTGGCGGACCTGAGCCGCAACCGCAGCCTGTCGCTGGGCTGGGGCGCGGGGCCCGAGGAGCCGCCGCCCGCCTTCTATGGGGGCGAGATCGTCGCCTTCCCGCTGTCGGGCGGCGGCGGCACCATGGCGGCGCTGGGCTCCGACTCCTGGTGGAAGAAGACGCTGTACCTGACGGGCGGAGCCCTGCTGGCCGCCGCCGCGTACCTGCTGCACGAGCTGCTGGCCATACGGTGAGGCCGCGGGGCTGCGGCGCTGCGAGCCCCGGCCGCTCGCAGCCGCCTGCACCTGCGGGGTCAGGTTGGCGAGGTCCGCCGGCTGGGGGTCCGTCCTTCACCGTGCTTTTGCCGTTTACCTTTCTTCTTCCCCTGCGCCCGGGTTTCCCCGTTCCGCCCTTTGCAGCAGCGCAGGAGGCGGCTCCGCGGCGAGCCGGGCGCTCGCCCCCACAGGTGGCCCGGGCCGGGCCCTGCCGCTGCCTCCGACCCGCCGGCCGGAGCCTGCAGCAGCCCTTAAGGGCTGGCGGGTGTGTTGTCAATGCCGGGGTTTCTCCTTTGTCTGTTCAATGTACTGATGTATCACGCACCTGTCTGGTTTGGTTTTGTTGTTTATTTGGTTTTTTTCTTTTTTTTTTTTTTTTTTTTTTTTTTTTTTTTTTTTTTTTTTTTTTTTTTTTTTTTTTTTTTTAATTCTGTGTTTTTTGACAGGAAAGAGGAAGAGCTCGATTCGAAGGATGCTATCATACTGCATCAGTTTTCAAGGCCTAGGAATGGCGTTCCGAGTTTATCCCCGTTCTGCCTGAAAATGGAAACGTACTTGAGGATGGCTGATTTACCCTACCAGGTACATTGTGCAGTTTGCCTTTGCCTTGCAGCTCTCTGTAATTGTGTGAAATAGCACATAGGCATCCTGCCTCTCATTCCCCCAGTCTGTCTCACCGAGGGAGATGTAAACATACACCTGCAGCTAGGTGGGTATGCCAATGTTTTTATGGCTCCAATTAAATTTAGTGTATAACCTTTAAAGATACGACTTGAATAAGATTATCTGGAACAGCTGTGGACTTAACTGGCAAAGCTAAATCAATGTTAAAATGTTTAACATTAAATGATTAACAATAAAATGTTGAAGTGGGAGAATAGTCTGGAATTTATGTAATACTAAATAGCACCCCAAAACTAAAGCACAAGACTATTTGATCCTTGAATTTCACCATGCCAAAGACATCACTATTAGACAGCTGCATGTTCTTACTCTTCTGGAGGCCTTATCTCTAAAGCTGTCTGGAAAGAAGTGCTTACCTTTTGCTTTGCCTCCCATAGCTAATGCTTCCTCCCCAGTGAAGTGGGGTAGGAGGGGTAGGATTGCTTTCAGAGGTCATGAATACTGCTCCTTAGCTCTGGTTGGGTGCATCCCATGCCATCTTCCTGCAGGGAATGAAGCCTGAGCTACTCCACTGAACAAAAGCTGTGAGAGTAGACACTTGAATCTCACGATCTTGCCTGTTAGCATCAAGGTTGATTTGGGATACTGCAGGTGTGGCACACATCTTGTTGTGGTGTTGCCAAGCTGTGCAGCACATGGAGTCTTTGGGTCTTTTTCTGTGTGTGTTAAGCACTGAATGCTTTTAAGATGATAAAATAATGATGTGTATAAGTAAGATTTTAGGTAGAAGAAATGTCTG